TTTTTTTATTGTTTTATTAAACTAAAAGGTTTATCCTGTTAATATGAAAAATCCTGAACAAGAATTTAAAAAAGCCTATAATTCAAATCCACCTGTTGTTGTATTTCATGAAACAAATGATAAAACATCACAAGTTGTTTTAACTGATAATCGTGATATTGAAGTTGAAATAAGTAAACGTTTTCCTGTTATGAATATGAATTCATTAAAAGAAGCTGAAGATGTTTGTTCAAATGTTTATATTAAATTTCATCCATATTTAAAATCATCCATAGGTGATCCACATGAACAAATGAAATTACGTGCTTTATTAACAGAATTAAAACGTATAAATGATTATCTTGAAGAAACAGGAACAAATTTTTTATCAGGAAATGAAATGACATTTGTTGATTGTGACATTATGCCAAAATTACAACATATACGTGTAGCTGGAAAATATTATAAAAATTTAGATATACCTAACGAATTGCATGCATTATGGTCATATATGGAACGTTGTTATCAAACAAAAGCATTTCAAGAATCATGTCCATTTGATCAAGATATATTAATGCATTATGAAGGTAAAGTTGATCCTCATAATAAACAAATTGGAAGAGCACCAACATTACAACAACCAACAATGACATTAACAATACCAGAATGAAATTAAGACATATATATATATATATCTATAATCTATATACGAATGACTTGTGTTTTTCATTTCTTTTTCTGTGTGTATAGTTTCTTTCTTTCGCATTTTGAATGAACAACGTTCTGTCTTTTTCTTTCGTTATGGCTTGTATGCCAATCTCATATTTTGCTGCTCTTTTTTTTTTTCTGTGGTGTATTGTCAACTTTTTATTTGTCTAGCGAACTTAAAAATGATTGGTATGATGAAATCGTTTTTTTTTTGAGACAAATTAAATAAAGCATTCGTTCTGTTTTCTTTTTTATTTTATATGTTAAGATTTTTAATTTGATCTTAGAAATCAAAAGTAAGTAATAGTTGATTGAAAATCAAACAGTATAGGAAAATAAATAGAAAAATGTCAAAGACTATTTTTAAAATTCACCTGTGCTCTCGATAAACATTGATTGACGTTGAAGTAATGATTGTTTTTATGGAGTTATTTGTCAAAAAAGTCATTTAAAGTCAAAATATCCATAAAATATCATACAATTATGAGGATATTTTTCCTATGATTGAAAATAATCATTTTATTATTATGTTATCAGAATACAACGATAAAAGAATATTGGTATTCAAACTAAAATGCATTCTTAATTGTGCATCGATTATATTTATAAAACTGGTTATTTACCTTATTAAGAGTGGAATCGAAAGACTATTCAATAGAAGGGGTACTCAATAAAAATGTTTTTTTCTTTTTGCATTAAATACATCAATGTCTTAAACCAGTCACCCTAGAATTTTAATATTCAGTACTCTTTCTTTGACAAGTTAGTCAATACCGACTTTTTACCATTATTATATCCTCATAAAGAAAAACAACACAACATCCATTGTAAAAAATCAACTATGTCAATTTCATATTGACTGACTCAAGTTTTATAAAGCCAAAGCGAATGAAAATGGGTTTTTTTGATAAATTTAACATGTCCAACTTACGGTAACTCATTTCCGGTTGGGATTCAAAATCACAGAATTGCAAACTGATTTTTATATGTGTTATGCCACTTTTTATTCTCTACCGAACGGCGAAAAAAGATACTTAGAAGTAATTGTTCTCTCCGAGGCGAAAAGGAATTCACATCTCTCTACTATATAGCGATTTTTGATAGCTTTTCAATAGAAAAAATAATATTTTGTAATAGTTTTCATCGCTATGAAACGATTGATAAACAAACTAAATGTCACATTCTAAATCAGCGTCAAAAACTACATTGAGTCAAATATATTTTAGAGAAACGTTTTTTTCTGCAAAATAAAAACATTTAGTGATCCGCTCTGAGTTAACTTTTCATAGATAAAGTCTCTATAAAATGTATTTGTTTCAATATAGTTTTTGACACTGATTTTGCATGTCACAATTGTGATCATGGCTATACAAATTATTAACAATAGCTTTTTTCTATTGAAAAACCAACAAAACTCGTTATACAGGAGAGATATGTGAATTTCGTTTTGCTTCGAACATACTATTTATTTTTGAGTATTTTTTTCCATTTTGTAGAGAATAAAAAAGTAGCATAATGTATACAAAACTCAGTTTGGAACACTCCGATTTTGAATCTCAGCAGGAAATAGAGTGTTATCACGTGGATATCTTAAATGCATTATAAAAAACATGTTTCATTCATGCTGATCTTAGAAAATTTAAGTCAGTCGATAGTATATCACTATCGCTCATCTTTTTTACAATGTATGTTGTGTTGTTTTTTTTTCATAAGGATATGATAGTGGTACACAGTCGTTATTGACTAACTTTTCCAAGACAGAGTACTGAACATCAGAATTCTGGAGTTGGTGGTGTCAAACATCGATTCAATGAATAACAAAAAAGTTTTTCTTTAATAAAATGTCTCGTATAATCAATAGTCTCATAATTCCTCACTTAAAATTCAGCTAAATGAAATCTACTTACTTAGATTGATGATCATGTATGTATATATATGAGTTTGTATAATATAGAATTTCAATGAATTCCACTATAATGATAAGTCAGTTGGTATTTTACTTTCGAAGTTTTCTATATGAAAATTCAACTATAAGTAGTGGACAAGGCAAATAATTAGTTTATATAAAGCTAATTTGAAGCGGAAATGTCATGGAGTCATTATTGATTTCATATTTTAACTTTGTATGGTCTTCAAACAGAAAAATATTCTTCACGGGTGCTCATTTCTAAGACCGAGAATTTTCAGTTTTTTCATTGTTTTTTTCTAGTCTACGTACGCATCAAATGATTATCTATCTACTGGACATTTTTTAAGGATTAGCACATACGATGTGCTAGAAATAGCGTTATGATAAACACTTAAAATATCTTCGCTTCGGTTCGCTCGATGAACTGACTTTTGTCGTTAATTGTAGAAGCTTACTTCAAGTTTTCTTTTCATATGAATAACGTAAGTAAATACTACTCTTGAGTTATATATTTTGTCTCACTAAAGAAACTTGACCTATTGTCAATTAAGAAAAACACGTATAAAACATTTATGTACATAGAGCGAAATTTTCAATATAAAACACTAGTTTTTGTAAGGAAGTGAAACCATTTATACATATTTTTCTTACTTGCAATGATATTAGTTTACGTTATTTGTATGAAAAAGAAACTTAAATAAACTTCCACGGCTAACGAAAAACTCAGCCCATTCGAGCGAATCGAAGCCCAGATATTTTAATTTTTTATCGTAAAGTTATTTATGGTCCATCCTGTATAATTACTATCAAAGTAGGAAAACACCAAAATCCACACATTATTTCGCTGTTTTTGAAAAAACAAGGTTTTTAACAAAAAAGAAAAGTTCAGAATCGTTCCCTTTTGTCAATCACAATACATCCGATTGATTTAAAGCTGTTACTCTAGAAATAATTTAGGTTGTCTGTTCTTTTTTGTTTCAAAGTATGATGTATCATTGATTTTGCTAGGCTTTATAATAGAAGCTCCAGTTGAAAAACCATTCATTTTTTGGGATAGGTGCTCAAGATTTTCACTTTTTTTATTTGAACAGAAGAAGATAAAAAGAAACCGAAAAATTTAGAGACCGCAAACAGTGTTTGATATCTTTACAAAGAATGTCAACTCTATTAGATGTATTGCAGCTAAGAAAGAGGAACAGTGCTTATTGCCAACTGCGATTTTGGCATCATCTAGAAGAAAATATTTGAAAATTTTAAGCCTATGAGAATCTTTTCTCTATTCATCTAAATTTATCTATTCTGAAAGTTGGAAAACTTTTTGTTGAACTGTTCTCCAAGAGTGCTAGAAAAGGAAGATGAAGTACTATTGAAGCAACTTCAGGTACTCGTATACTTAATTTGTCTAGTTGTCGAGTTTCATTTGGTTTAACTGAAAATAACAGTTGATGTGTCTATGTTCTTGTTTGTTAATAGATAAACTAAGATTAACGTTGATCTCTTTTTCATAATGAATTCAGATAATGAAATGGTGAAATATAGTTGATGAAAATTAATGATCATCAGTGTCCTTAGATTCGGATGAACTCGATCAGGTTGGTCTATATAATCAAATAACTATTTTTAACAAATGATTTCTTTGAATGATTCAACCTATTATACAGAACACTTGTCGATTCGATTGAACTAAGTACTACATTGGCATGATATAATGAGTATAATTAGTTACAAAATTATGATATTCTATCGTGAACTGGTTAGAAAGAAAGATGGTCATCGACACTTTAGATGCATCTTATTTTATTGTGAATTAAAGAAAAGTCTCAAGTGATAATCACTTCTATTTAGCGAACTAATAAATGGTAATAATCCAGTCATTAGTACAGTTCTATGTTGAACATTGTTTTTAGAAAAAAGTTGATTACAGGAAGCTGTATTTGTAAAAATGATGCATTGCTAATATCCGTTCTTAAATAAAGAGTCATCACTAAATTGAATTGATCTGTTCTTCAAATACCATAGAAAACCATTCATATTACTCTCTAGTTCCGATAAAAGCTAATAAGTGACTATTTCAAAAGTCATCTTATTAAAGCTTCAGGTAATTAAATATATTAAAAAAAGTGTTATAATCAAGATATATGCACTTTATTTACTTTTGTTTAACAAAATGCTAAAGTGGTCTTCCTGTTATAATGGATGATTATTGTCAATGTCAGCAATGCTCATAGCAATAATTTCTTGTCTAGTGAACACATTAGTCAAAATGAAAAATCAATCATACTTGATTGAATAGACTAATAATATACACAGATGAAATTGTAGAAAATCTGTATGTAAAAAGAAAAAAAAAATTGTTTGTTTTCTATTATTAATAAAATCTTTCTTGCATGACAATAAAATAAGTTTACAAATACAAAAAAGCTAATAACAACAAAAAAAGTATGTATGAAAAAAATGAATATAAAGATGTTGATAAAGATGTATTTGTTTTCGGTATCATAACGTTTGTTTTATGTGTTTGTATAGGTGCTAATGTTGTTGTTATTTTTCTTTCTTGACATAAACGATCACATTTATCATCCAACGAACAATTTAAGTAATTTTCTAATTCATGTATATGTATTGGTGAATTTAAATGATTTACTAATTGTTCATAATAAAGTGATTGTAATAATGTATTATTTGTTACAATACAAGCATGACTTGATTTAAATAAACGATTAATTTCTTTTGTTTGTCTTTTTTGTAATAGATATATATTCATTAATTGACAATCACATTGAAATTTTGTTTGACTATCTTGTGCTATAGCTAAATTTGGATGACTTAATAATATACAATTATCTAATGGTGATACGTTATTTAATTTATGAGTATTGATATATAAATTTTCAAAATTTTCAATATTACAAAAAGCATTTTTATCAATATATTGTAATGGATTACCAGTTAATGTTAATGTACGAAGTTTAGGTAAATGTTCAAATGTATATTCATTAATATATTCAATTAAATTTGATGTTAAATCAATTTGATCAATTGTATTTGATTGTAAATCATTTATATGTGTTAATCTATTATGACCAAAATCAATATATTTTAAATGTTTTAACATTTTAATTGATGATATTAATGGTTGTGAATGAAATATTTGTGGTAAATAAAGTAAAAGAAGACGTTCAAGTGATTTTAAATGTTCAATTGGTAATAAACTTGTTTGATGTGTACTTATTAATTTTAAATATGTTAAATTTTGACCAATAGATGTTAAATTTGAATAACGATAATTATCAATATAAATATTAATTAATTCTAAACGATTTAATTGTTTTAATTGATTTAATAATAATTCTAGATTTAATTTTTTATCATGTTTATGTGTTTGATGATAATGAACTTTTTTTAATGTTAATAATTTTAATGTTCTAAATGAATCTGAATTGAAAATATCTTGAAAATTTCCACTTGATGTTACTAAAGAATTAATTGTTGCATTTTCAATACTAAATTTTTCTAAATGATTTATTTTCGAAAATGATTCTTCATTTAAACCAACTAAATTACAATGACGTAAACGTAATGTATTTATATTTAAATCAGCAAATGTTTTATCTCCAATATGTAAATCTTGTGAACATGATTCTAATTCAATTACATTATAATGAATATTTGGTAAGAAATGTGGAACATATGAATGACCAATACATTTTAATGATATTCCTTTTCCTGATACATCATCACATTCACAATGTTGTTGTTGTACATCATATGGATAATATTGAGCACAAAGTGAATTTGATGTTAATGATGATTGAGCATTTGTTAATGAAATGATTACAAATAGAAAATAGACGATGTAATACATTGATTTTAAATACATCTGAAAAAAGATATAGACGTTTTTTGTAGAATGATGAAGTAAATACTGGGTTAATTATTATTATGGAAGAAATAAGACGACTAAAATAACAGTTGATTATATGATCAACTTTCATAGATAATATTTTCGTTGAAGGTCATGTTAATGACAAACAAATTGATTAGTTATGGACATGTGTGAATCTTTTTTATCTTTTAGCTCATTCTACTTATTATCGATAGACAAACTGATCTTGAAAAATCAACTTTAACAGTATCTTATAACATTGATATGTCACTGATTGTCACATGTAAGGTTATACTCTAATCAGTACTTCGAAGAAAGTTTCATGTCTAGTATTCAGAAACTAAATAACTTTTAGTTATCTTTCATCAGACACAATACGATAAGATTTTATGCTATTATTAGTTTTGCTCTTTTCTCAGTTGTCAAAGTTGCCATGGCTGAGTGGTTACGTTATTCGACACGCATCCATAACATGCTGAGTGCAAATCTCAATAACATCAACCATGGAATGACCCTGAACAAGTCACTAACAGCTATCTGTCTCGAATAATCCACCCGATAATATACTGACTACATTGTAACATATACATAGTCTTATAGTTAGTTAGTGTCTATGAGGAGCTTGTAAAAACTATGCATTCAAAGTTATAGCTAAGCAATATTTAATACTGCATGACAGCTGACAGAACAGAGATATTCTTCTCATTCTTGCTAAGTTGTAAGACTATAGAATTTCTCTAAAAAAAACAACTGGTACTAAAAATGACAAAAGAAAAAGTACGATGAGAAATAATAGAATATTATTTCTAATAATTTTGACAAGAATAAAACTTATTATCAATTAGAATTCTGAAATATATTGAATATATTATATACGAATAATATAATTTTGTTTATATGTCATGTTGATGGAAATGTTTGGTTGAGATTTATAGATAAGAATATGGTGATATGCAAAGATGAATTGTTCATGCTGAGTGGAATCGACTGATTTCTCAGTATGTATACACCACTATTATCTATCATATCCTGGTCAGTAGAGTTGAACTTTAACGATAATGTAATATGGTCGATTGTATTTGTTAACGATCAAAATATGTTTTTTGTCTTTTTCTTTTTATGAAAAATTACTCAAGAAGTCGTAAATGCTTGTATTCCAAGATTATTAATCAGTAAATACTATCTATCAATAATATTTAATCTCACATATTTGCCCTTAGCTAAGGCTTAAAAAACAAATCTTCAAAGGAATTTATGGTCAATCTAATCAAATCATTCTATGATAAATCAAAAAGAAAGACAGGATATTTATTTTATTCCATAATTAATTTATGAAAATTTAGAAATGAATTTTCTATTTCTAAAAAGAAATATACTTAGATAATGCATGTCTATTTACATTATTAACAAGAATAAAAAAAAAAATACAAAAGAAATTAATAATCATTTAATTATGAAGTAGAATAATTGATGTCGAATAAACAATAGTTTTCAATATAAAAAAAAAAGAACACTTTCTTACCTTGAGAAATCGAGCATTTCTGTTCAATACTCAAATTTGTCGGAAATTTATATATTAAATGGATTTTTATTTCCGTTTTATTCATACGTAATCGGACAAATAGAACAAAGAAATATATTCTTTTTGAAAATGAATAGAAAGAGAGAAAGAAAGAAAGCCGCTTAAAAAGTTTTTTTTTTCTGATCCATTTATATTTTCAGTCCCATTTGAGACTAAATATATTACGGTTGATTGCCAATCTATCCTGTTAATGTTCTCATGCGACTGCATCAATGCATAACATGAGAGAGAAAAAAATACTCGGGGAAAAACGTGCATTCCATCACATACCGGAACTGTTGATCGATTTTTTTTGTTTGAAAGAGAAAAACGAGAGTATGTACGGGTATATGTATTCACTTTTCTATATATGTCAATGTTGTAACTATTGACTCGATCGCCTTTTTTTTACTTGCTCGGAGGGCACCATCACCAACACTCGAATAGTATATGGTAGTGCTGGCTATTCTCTCGTCCTATTCTTATTCTTCTGGTAATCAGCTTCGCGTCGTTGGGCTATTTTTCCTTGCATGCTCTCTTATTCTCTAGCGCTTTTTTTCTTTTTTTGTGGTTCTACTATTTGCCTGAATTAAATAAAAGAGAACAGCAAAAAAAATCGGAAATGCACAAACGTCAATGCGACCTATGGTCAATAGAATATCCATTTCGAATGTTCAGTTGTGTTTACGTGCAGTAAAGGTAATAAACACGCACATGCGCGACGTTGATGACAATAGATTTCTTTTTTTAACCATAACACGCTAGTGTCGGTTAAATAGACAGATGGTCGACCAGACTCAAATGAGGGAGAGAGAGAGAGAAAGAAAAGTGAAAGATTGAAGTCATCAAGCATGATCATGGGTAGACTTGACATAAACTCATCAGTCATCGTATATGATTCAAAATGATGATATGTGTATGTAGATGTGTGCAATGGCACACTTGCTCCTCCTTTTTTTTTCTTTTTCTTCTTCTTCTTACTCATTCAATTGGTACCATATACACACGTATAAGAGACCAAACAACGATCATCGTCGGAATGATGAAGATTAGAAATCAAATTATCTATGAACGAGATGATTGTACTCATCAAGATGAAGCAGCCATACTAATTCCATCAAAAAAGCAATTCATTAAGGCATAAGCACGATCGAACATTACAAACAACTTACTATGAGACTGCCACTTCGCACAATATATTTGAGTTTCAAAAAAAAAAGACGTGTATGAGTGTGAGGTGGAGTGTCTGTTCAATGTTCATGTCTCTCGCTCTCTCTCTCTCTCTCTTCTTCCTTTATCCACTAATTCTTTCTGTGTTTGTTCTCTCTCTCCCTTTCTGTCTTCTGTACCTCATTCTGTCTCACGCACATGCTGCTTGCCACCTTGTCAAGAATAATGCCATTCATTCATTCTCTTTGAATATGAGCTGAACAAGTGTCCCACTCTTGTTGTCGTGGTACACACGCACCAATATATATCTATGTATATGCATATATATGTGCATGTATGTGTGTTGACGTGGTGATGCAATAGTATGACTGACTAATGCATAGAACGCGACAACTACATGAAACATAAAAAAGAAATTATGTGGCAGTGTCTGGCCAAAGAAAATCTTTATATGAATAAAAAAAATATACCTATACCAAGGATATCTTACTACAAGCACTTCAACTACTTTTATTTCATTGTCTTGTCTCTTGTTCTCACCATTGAAATTATTAAAGACGTAATCTTATTCATGTACACAAACGCACACGCGTTAGTTGCATAAAAAATGTATATAGAGAAAGAGAAGGAGAAGGGAAGTGAGGTTATACCACTGCTATCTTTTTTCTCTGTGTATACTCCTAATTCCTTTGTTTGACCAAGACTGTCGAGAGTTTGGTGGTGTAATCAAGTCTGTTCTTTGTTGCTTAACGTAGTCATATTCTCTCGAACAAATTTACTGTCATTCAATGTAATTGATAATAATATACAAAGTCCATTAAGTAGGGAGTGTAACGTGTCCTTGTCAACTGAACAGTTAAAAGAGCTTGCGCAACTCCTCCTTCTATTCATACATAAATGTTTTTGTCGTTGTGATGATAATGTAAAGCTTTCAAGCTTGCTTTCTTTTTCTTTCTCTCTCTTTTTGTCCCTTCTCTTACATGTTGTTCACATATATACATACATACAATGAATAATGATGATGACGTTGATGTGGTCAAGATGTATACATAGTACATGCCTTGAAAAAAACAGAGAAAAAATGAGAGACAATGAGTGATTGAAATGCAACAAACGTAAAAGAACGAAAGAAAGAAACGAGGATGATAAGATAGAAAAAAAAAAGGAAGAAAAAAGAAAAAAGAAAAGAAATGAAAGCAAATAACGGAAGGAAGGAAGAAACGAGCAGAACGCTCAGTACACTCTCTTCATTAATGTTCATCATTCACCCGACCTTGACCCATCTTCGTTTATTCCAAACCCCCTTTCTGTAGAAATTCGATGCCAGTATTGCTGTTAACATGTGAAAATGACTTAAATGAATCTCAATTATATTCTATCTTTTTCTTTCTCTGCTTTCTATTAGTTGAATACTAATGATGATTGTTATTGACATTTTTATTTCTTTTATTCATATCCTGAGAAAAACAAAAAAAAAGAAACACCCGAATATGTCGGAAGCACTTCTTTTATTCTCAATTGATCTCAATGTTTGAATCTAAATAAATTGATGGTATAAGACCACTACACTACGTCCGAGTACATACCCAGCAGGCGATAGTCTGAACGGCGTTGTTTGTATTGAACACCGGCTAATAAGGCGTCTATATCAAGTTACTTATATACAAACGTATTGAATACATGCAGAGCGGTGCTATTTACCTTGAACGAGGTAGTTAGGCTGATTGATCTGTGCGACCATTGAACAATATGAATGCTTGAACTGTCATCTTTATAGTTGGTCATATGCTAATTGAAATGTTAAAATTGATCGATAATACAATTCTATTCAATTTTCACATCAATGAGTGGTCAACGAATAGAATACTGCTGACGTAAATCATCTTCATCAGTTCTTGATTTTTCATTTTTTTTTCTATCTTATATACATACAGCTGGTTCCTTTCTCTTTCGATGCATTATATATCTATGTGCACCACCCCAATCTTCATCTATGAACACATAACACGAAGAAGAAGTAGAAGAAAAAATCTCAAGAATGCAATCATCAGTTGATTTCATTTTGTCATGAAAAAGAGGACAAAAGAAAAATAGAAGGAACGAATGTGACGTCTTTTTTTAATGAAATGTATCTGTTCAAGTACAGCATCTTAAAAGATAACAGAAGAAATCTTCAAGGATAAACTGCTTGTCCTTCTGTATAGTGTCATCTGTGATAATCGACGACAGTCATAGGTTATGTTGACAA